TTCTGTTATTTTCTTCTCATCCTTGCCTCTGTTCCTAAGTTCTATCCTCACCTTTGCTTCCTGTTCTACATCAGCTGCTAAGTGGACTGTAGGAGGAAACATGGGGTGGGCCACCATTGTGAAATACACTCTCTGGGCTCAGGACTAGCACTTCTACAATAGAGACTGGAACTATAAGCTGGTTTTTGCCCTGCTCTTCTCATGCATTTATCTTTAGATGTGCTTTACAGTCATGTCGATTGATCTTTGCTTGCTTCCTTGCTTTTTGTATACTCTTCCAGATATGGATTGCTATGTTTGATTTGTGTTTTGTATGGGAGTTCAATGGATGGATCTGAATGGGTACTCCAAGTTACTTGAAGTTGTTATCGATCCAGCTTTTGCTGTTGCAAAGTTACTTAAGTTGCACTTTAGCTCTTTCTATTATTGTAATTTGCTGCTGGAAGAAGCAGCTCAGATCCATATTCTGGTTCTGTTCATTCAGAAGATCCTAGCTTTTACTTTTTAGCTACTTTTTCCTATGATAAATGAATTAGAATTTCCTAAATTGCTGTCTTCATTTAGTTTAGTTTCACACTTATGAAGCTTGATTTCTGCTAAATCAATTTCTATGAGTTAAATGCTGACTCCATTGAGATAAGTTTCAAAGTTCAAACTGAAACGAAAGATATCCTTTAGTTTCCAAAAGCTTTTACCTGTTTATTAGATTGGGGAAGAAAAGGGAGCCTAAATTAAAGTTCAGAAGATCATTCTTTCTCTGTATTTATGGTTTTTTTTTTTTTTAAATATAAAATAAAAGACAACTTGACCAATTTATGATTCCACAATCCGCCTTTGTCAGGTAAGAACGAAGAAAAAAAGGTTATGACATGACTGAATCCACATATTCTTGCCGTTTTCTTGGCTTTATCCTGTACAAAGTTGGAATCTTCATTCCCCTAGGAGATACAGTTTTATTTTGTTATCCTGAGATTGCTGATTGTGTCTAGACTAACTCACTTTCCTATCTGCTTGGCTTATTATTAGATCAGTCTATATGGTCGGCTGAGGTTAATATTAAGTTTTACCTATATCTATATATAATGCCTCCTGCATTATCTTAAACTGTTGCAATAGGCTTCATCACCAGGCAATCAGAAATTGCAAAGAGAGTGAAGGGGTTATCATCATAAACGGGTGTAATTTGGTGAGTATAACTCTCTTATATAATCCTGTTCATTAATATCCCCCCTTGATAAGGAAGGATTTGATGAATGAATCATGCTTTGCAGGTCTTGAAGACCAGGGGATTCCCTGAATATGAAATGTCAGATTCAACAAATTCCTGACGTGATCGAGTGTTCATTTTAATTTTACTATACATTTGTGAAAAACTATAAGAAGACTCTGAAATACTTGAATCATGAATAAAACTAAACGATTATCAACTGTAGATATCATCAAAATAGCAAGAGCACATGTCAGCAGATTTTCTTTCCATGACACGGTTGATATCTCTATGCTTAATGGTTTCTTCCGTGGTGTGTGCTTTGGTCTTTCAGATAAGGAGATCAAAAATGTTGAGCTTGCAGTTCTTCCATTAGCTTCTTCTGAGAAGGTTAGCGACCACCAATTTGACCAAGCAAGCAGAATCCTTAAACTGTGTGAATTCTTGTCTTCAAAAAATGGAAGTTCAGTTCAGAGAATGGTTTACTACTTTAGCAAAGCTCTTTAAGAGAAGATCGATCGAGAAACTAGAGCTAATACATCAAAGATAAGAGAAAGCACAAAAACAAGGCTGTTACCGTCTGATGAAAACACTTTGTGTTTGAAACCCTCTTTAATTAAATGTTATGAAATGCTTCCTTTTGTTTAAGTTAGTGTGTTTGCAGGAATTCAAGCAATTGTAGAACATTTGGCATTCCCAAGAAAGGTTAATTATATGGACCTTGCAGTTAGAACTGGGGGACAGTGAACAGCACTAATGAAAGCTCTTGCCATTGAAAATGAAGTTCCACTGGAGCTTCTTAAAGTGACAGCCACAGGGACAACAGAGGAAAAGATTATTGACGACACAGGTAAAAGGCTAGCCTGTTTTGCTGAGTCCTTAAATATAACCTTCTCATTCAAAACTGCTATGGTGACACAAATAAAAGATATCAATGAAGACATGTTTGAGATAGAAGATGGTGAAGTTGTAGCCATCTACTCTCCGTTGGTTCTAAGTCATTTAGTAGGACAGCCTGATTGCTTGGAAGCTCTAATAAGAGTTCTTAAGAACTTAAATCCTTGTGTTATGGTGGTAACAGAATATGAGGCAAATCAGAGTTGCCCCATTTTCATGGAACGCTTTTCTGAAGCATTATCTTTTTATGGTTCTCCGTTGGAAAACTTTGAAGCAGTATGGAGCAGAGTGATCAGAACAGGTTTGCTTTTGAAGCATCATACTTCAGTCGAGGTATAAAAAATCTTGTTGCAGAGGAGGATGACAATAGGATGTTCGGGGACATGAATATAGATGACTGGAGAAACTGTCTAACTAAATTTGGACTAGTTGAAACAGAGCTGGGATCATCGTCTTTATATCAGGCAGAGCCGGTTCCCAAGCAGCTTGCATCTGGGAACTGTTGCACATGCTATAGGAATGGGGACTCCCTAACTATTAACTGGAAAGGAGCACCAATTCTTTCTCTTTCTGCTTGGAAATTCAAGGAACAGAAAGCTTCAAGGCAGAGTTGCAATGGAAAACGAAAGTCTCTAAGGAAGTAGAATTGTTTCCATTTGTATTTAAAAAAACATCTTATGAATAATGCATTGCTCGTTGAAGAAATTCCCTATTTTATTTATTCCGTTTTTCTTGAGTGCAACTACTTCCAGAGCAGAAAAAAACATACTAAGCTTTCTTGCTGAATTCGAGGAAAAATCAATAATGGTTACTGAAAAAACAGTAGTAATAAAAACGGAAAATTGGAAACAGAAAGTTACCTGAAAGCATACTGTAGTTGTAGTTGTTAAAAAATCAAGGGTTTTCGAGAAGAAGAAGATTGAATGAAAAATTAAATCTCTCGTTAAATTGAAAATAATTTAGCTTTTAAATAAGTTTTATAAGATAATATTTTTTTAAAAAATAATTAATTAATTTTATCTAATCTAAAATAAATAAATAACTTTCTATATTTATAGAGATAATGCCTAATAGGAATTAATTTCCAACAGTAATGACAGACAAGCTACCGTCGGAGTGAATCCTTTCCCAGCACTTCTGCAGAAGTCCTCAATAAATCTTGTGAATGGAAGCTGTATACCAGTTTGTTCCTCTCTGCCTCTGCCTACACACCCGTAAAAACCACGTACCCGCCTCTGTTGCGATCGCACATGGCACTACAGGTGGTTTTACAGCGACATTTGCAGAGTCCTCTGCAACTGCTGGGATAGAGAAGAGGAACAATGGGCGATGGAGGGGATAGAGAAGGGGGACGTACGGATCTGGAGAATGGATATTGAGGTTATAAGGCGGGAGTGGACCGCCACAGAGATCTATGTTTCCGGTGGATGCCGATGGAGGGAATTTGGCCAGAGTGTCTGGGATCAAACCGTTTAAGATTGTTATTGTAAAACTTTGAGGGGCAGGAAGGGAGGTGGGGCCAATTATCAAATTTTATCACCAATTTTTATGGAATCTTATCCATAAAAATGGGAAGGATTATCTCCAATAAGAAATGCCCGTACACCCTTCTCTGAGAACCATGTCCAGTTCTCTTCTTCTTCCTCTTCATGCATGGCTTCTCTTCCTGTTGCGGTCATACCAACCCCAAAATTCTCTAGCTTCAAATCAACAAAACCCACAAAGAGAATCGTATCAACAACAAACCAATTCACAGAATTCAATGAAAAAGCTAGAAATCAACGATCTTTATCCAAATCTTACTTTCACCAAATATCATCTCTTTGCAAAGATGGCAAACTTGAACAAGCTGTTGACTTGCTCACTGAAATGGGATGGAACGGCATAAGAATTGGACCAGAAATATATGGTGAACTCCTTCAAGGGTGCATATGCGAGGGAGATCTATTCACAGGTCAGCAAATTCACGCTCAGATTCTAAAGAAGGGTGAGTTTTTCGCAAGGAATGAGTATATTGAGACAAAGCTGGTTATTTTCAGTGCAAAATGCAATGCTTTTGATGTTGCTAATCGTTTGTTTAGTAGATTAAGGGTGAAAAATGTGTTCTCTTGGGCTGCAATCATTGGATTGAAGTGCAGAATGGGGTTTAGTGAAGAGGCTTTAATGGGGTTCTGCGAGATGCAAGAGAAAGGGTTTCTGCCTGATAATTTTGTGTTGCCTAATGCATTAAAATCTTCTGGTGCTTTGCAGTGGATTGGATTTGGGAGAGGGGTTCATGGGTGTGTGGTGAAGTTGGGTTTTCATGACTGTGTCTATGTAGCAAGTAGTTTGATAGATATGTATGGGAAATGTGGGTTTTTGGAGGATGCAAGGAAGGTTTTTGATGGAATGATGGAGAGAAACGTTATAGCGTGGAATTCCATGATAGCAAGCTATATGCAAAATGGGATGAATGAGGAAGCACTTGAGGTGTTCTATGATATGCTAGTGGAAGGCATTGAGCCAACGCAAGTGTCTATATCTAGCTTCTTATCAGCTTCGGCCAATTTAGGTGCAATCGAAGAGGGAAAGCAAGGGCATGCCGTTTCCATTTTAGGTGGATTAGAGATTAATAATATTTTAGGTAGTTCTATTATAAATTTTTATTCAAAGGTTGGTTTGATTGAGGATGCAGAACTGGTTTTCAATAGAGTGCTTGAAAGAGATGTAGTAACATGGAATTTGCTGATTTCTAGTTATGTGGAGTACGGGCAGGTTGAGAAGGCACTATATATCTGCCGGTTAATGAGATCAGAAACCATGAGATTTGACTGTGTAACTTTAGCATCCATACTGGTTGCTGCCGCCAACACGAGGAATATAAAGCTAGGTAAAGAATGTCACTGTTATTGTATTAGAAGCCACTTTCAATCTGATGTGGTTGTTGCTAGTAGCATTGTAGACGTGTATGCAAAATGTGGGAGAATTGAAAGTGCCAGACAAGTATTTGATTCCACCTCCAAAAAAGATCTTGTATTATGGAATACCATACTGGCTGCTTATGCAGAGATTGGTTTTAGCAGTGAGGCCATGAAGTTGTTTTACAGGATGCAGTTAGAAAGTGTGCTACCGAATGTGATATCATGGAATTCTTTGATTTTAGGATTTATTAGGAATTTTCAGTTTAATGAAGCTAAAGATATATTCTCAGAAATGCAATCCCTTGCTGTCCTCCCCAACCTTGTAACTTGGACAACAATAATCTCTGGTCTAACTCAAAATGGTTTTGGCAAAGAGGCACTTCATATTTTCCAAAAGATGCAAGATTCTGGGGTAAGAGCAAATACCATTTGCATCACTAGTGCAATCTCAGCTTGCACAGAGGTAACGTGTTTACATTATGGAAGAGCCATTCATGGATATGCCACAAGAAATGGCCTTTCTTCACAAACTGCAGTTGCAACTTCTCTAGTGGAGATGTATGCTAAATGTGGATACTTAAATCAAGCAAGAAGGGCATTTGATATGATTTTAAACAAGGAATTACCTGCTTATAATGCAATGATCTCGAGTCATGCTTTACATGGTCAAGCTAGAGAAGCACTTTCTCTTTACAATTGTTTATGGGAGGCTAGCACAAAACCAGATGCCATAACCTTTACTAGTGTGCTATCTGCATGCAGCCATGCTGGGATGATAAGTGAAGGTCTGCAGGTTTTTGCTGATATGGTCTCTATACATCATTTCAAGCCAAACATGGAGCATTATGGATGTGTGGTTACTCTTCTTTCTCGGTGTGGTAGTTTGGATGAAGCTGTTAGGCTTATTTTGACAATGCCATTTGAACCAGACGCACATATCATTGGATCACTGCTTGCTGCTTGCAGAGAACAAAATGAAATTGAACTTGGGGAACACTTATCTAAACATTTGCTAGAACTTGAGCCAGATAATTCAGGAAACTATGTGGCAGTTTCAAATGCATATGCCACTGCAGGAAAATGGGATGAAGTGTCAAGAATAAGGGATGTGATGAAAGATAAGGGCCTAAGGAAGAACCCTGGATGTAGTTGGATTCAAATTGGGGGTGAACTTCATGTGTTTGTTGCGGGTGATGGATCACACCAAAAAACTGAGGAAATATATGTAATGCTGTCTTTATTGCAAATGGATATGAACTATAACACCAAAACTCTCTGTATTTGAGCACAAAACACCCTAAAAGTGTAGAAAAATGGAAAAGCAAAAATTTCATGATGTTTCTGGTTTAAATGTGGAAAACTTTACAAGCTGTGGCAAGTGGCAATGAGATTGGACAATTTTACCAAATATTTGGAGGAGAAAGAAAAGTTTATGGAAAATGACTAGCCACATCAACTAGCCTTGTAGAGTTGTAGTGCCCCAGGAGACATATTGCGACTCTAAATTCAGTTGAATAAATACAAGCTCAGAGGTGGACTGTGGAAGGAAACAAGGGGTGGACCACAAATTTTGCTTCCCATTATTACATCCTCATTCCAGTTTACTATATGTAGTTCATTAGATAACATTAAACTTGAAATCCAAACAGATCATTGCATCTGAAACTGAGCCAGTTAGGTGGACAACTCCACTTGGACTTCCTGTCGTGCAACCATACCAGCAATTAGGAAGGCATCTTGTGAGAGTTATTTATTTTACAAACATAAAACCATTATCTTCTTAACCATGTGGCCAAAAATTAAGGCCCATACTGATGATTTAGCTTCTTTTGTTAAAGTGGATGCTGATCAAAACTTCCCTTCAGTTTTTAACACTGCAACGTGAAACTGGAAAGGTAATGCTACCTTTCTTGGTTTTGCAGTTTATGCTTATTAATCTTGGGCCCAAATCTGGACTAATCATTTTATTTTTATCTTAGATCATGGTCAAGAGACAGAGGACGGCTTTTCCACCTAATTTTGTTCACTCCCTTGATGGTTCTCACATGATGATTACTGCAGTTGCCTGTAATGAGGCAGGCTTAGCCTTTGCTGGTCCTAATGTGGTCTGATTTTATTATATTTGGCTAGCTTATTCTTATTTTGAGTTTCTTATTAATCAATGTTATATGCTTGCAGGTATTTCTGATGCATTCTGGCCATTCGCACAATGATGAGAAGAAGTAAAAATTTATGATGCATTCTGGTCATTCGCAATGTTTTCTGTAAAGTATTTGTTGTGAGAAAAGCCAGATTCTGTTCTAGGTTACTGTCTGATTGTATGTTTTTTTCTGATGAATGTAAAGAATAAGTTTTAGATAAATGATTCCCACCTTTTAATCTTTTCAAAACATTATAGAAGTGTCAACCATGTAGAATTGTGACAAACATTCAAGATCAAATTTTTGCACTTTGTAAGGGAGGGAGGGTACAAGGTTAAAAACAGATGATATGATCTCATCATTACTTATGTTAGCTGTTTAAGTTGAGGGATAGAATTTTGACAACTATGAAGCTGAAAAGGAAAAAACTAACGTTGCCCACTTCAAAAAGTTTACTCTGAACATGTTACAGGTCACATCTCAAGACCAAAAAAAATGTTAAAAAAATGCAAAAAAAAAAAAAAAAAAAAGTTTCCCTCCAAATAATCTGACCTTAACCACGTAAAGGGTTGCCATAACTGACTCTTCTAATAATAAAAATTACCAAAAAATTTCCTATTTCCAAGCATATGTAAGCTGACCTTAATAATCATCTCCATCTTTGACCTTGACCATGGCAAAACAGAGCTTTGATTCAGGGGCTGTCCGGAATGACCAAATCTGCATCACTGCATTCTTCTTCAGAGTGCTCTGATTTCCATCTACCACTGAATTCCACTGCTCATTAAACACAAATACTCTGGAATTTTTCATATTCCACTTCGTCAGGTGGATTTCTGATTTCTTCAGACATGGTTCTATCAGAGAAACATTCAGCCCTTTCTCATCCAGCTTCCTTTCTTCTTCCACTGTAAGAAAATCTGCCATCAACTGATTCTCGGGAATTTGCAAACGGTTGTGAGACTTGCTAAGGTCTGTTTTGAATATGATCTTCTGTATCAGCAACTTTTCTTCAGAACCACCCATCTCTTCAATCAAATTCTTGAATTCAGTTGGCATGTTTGGTGGAGGCACCAAACCCCATTCAGCAAGTTGTGCCATTACTTTGTTATTCTGGTTCTTTCCATCCTTCTGCCTTTTCGGTTTATTCAGCTTTTCCTCTTCACTTTCTTCACTCTCACGGTAGCGTTTCTGACTTTTGTTCCTCCTACATTCTCTTGGTTCAGCATCTGAGAATCTCGTTTCAAAATCTTTAAGAACAGGGGCTCCAAATTTGCTAAGAAAACCAGTGCCGATAGTGGCTATCAGGGGTTTCCCTCTGTTAGATCTCTGTTTCTTGGGCACGGAAAGAAGCAAAACTGGGAAGGGCGGAACAGGGCAACTGGTAGAACATTGTTTCTTTTTCCTTCCGTTAGACCTCTGTTTCTTGGGAATGGACAAACCCAGAACTGGGAATGCTGGAACAGATGGGTAGTAGACAGAACACAGTTTCATTTTCTTCATGAATTCCCGAGTGACCTCCTTAAAGCAATCAACTAGGGTAAGACCGCCATTAACATCCATCATATTAAGACCCATCAAGTCAACAGATTTCTTGAACCAAGGGAATTGAGTAAACGGGTGACTACCATTGACAAATTCTCCCGGTTTATTCATGGCTTCCTGACGAACTCTCTCAATAAAGTAAAGCAGGTTATCTATGTCCTCCTCGGTGACACCCAGAAACTCGAACAAGTCAGATTTGTTTAGTCCTGGTCCTAGGGAAGGGAATGCAGAAACAAGGACATCGAGAGATTGTCGTCCTGTTCCCATCTCGTCTTCCTTGACAGAAGAATCAAGTGGGTTTTCCATTCGTTCAACGTCTTTGTTGAACCCAAAGGAGGTTACTCGTTCCATGGTCTTGATGACTCTTTCTTTGTCCTCAAAAAAGAACCCCTGAAAACCCGAAGTAGTGGAGGCTCTCTCAATTCTCCAACCTGTGTTGAAGAAACGGCAATGGTTGATGATGGAAGAGGAGAAGAAGAAAGGCATTGAGAAGAGAAGAAAAGAATGTGTATGGCGAAGGTGTCCAGAATGGATTTGAAAGACCAAGCCGAAAAGAACCGGATGCAGTTGCAGTGGTCTGGGGGTATATTTATAGATCACTGGGCTTTAACTTCGGATGCCAGTCGAATTCAGGCGTGCGCGTGGGATGCCAGTTGAGTTCACGCGGATGGTGGAGAGTGGGCCTGGCTGAAGTTACAATTACAATTTTGCATAAAATGTGAGATGGGCCTGGGCCCAACTTCCAGTTTGGTAGCTCATGTGGCCTTCCGCCTTGGCGCCGTACAGTATAGAAAGGGGAATGTTGGACGGAGAGATGGGGCTCGCTTGAATAAGGCCTACGACAAAGTGGGATGAAAATGGGTTTTGAAAGTAAATGGGTTTACTGGATTTTGGACTGGTGTTTCAGCCATACGTGGAGAATAGATCCAATAGTAAGTTTGGATAGAATCCCCTCGAAATTTTGAATTTATTATTATATTAAGTTATTTTAAATTTGAGATTAGAAAAAATTAAAGTTATGACTTCCCCATACTAGTTTTGGGTTAAGTTTGATGAACTCAATTTTTTTAAAATTTAAAATTTAAAATTTTTAATATATTTTTTATTTTTTAAAAAATTTAATATTAATTAATAATTTAATAAAAAATTATTATATTAATATTAATTCTAATAATCTACTAATAAATAATATAAAGTAATTCTTTTATGAGAAAGTGCATATCAATTCTAATTTTTTTAAAAATCGAAGTTTTAATTTTAAATTATGTCATCTTATTTAATTAAAATTTAATTAAAAATTAAAAATTGTATTTTATTAAATATTAATATTTAACCAACAACCTAAACAACTTAGTACTCATCTCCTTCCGTTAAAAGTAAAAGATCCTGAGTTCGATTCGCGTGATATGTGAGTGAAATGACATAAAAGATAAGAGATGATTGTCTTTCATTGTACAATTAAAATAAAATAAATTAATATTTAGATTTGAAAACTAATTAAATTTTTGAATTTTGAATTGAAATTTTATTTTTTAAATATAAGTTACGACTTTATCTTTTTTTAATAATAAGTATTGATATGCATAACTCTTCTTTTATAGTATTTAATTTTATTTTATATTTAAAAATTAAAATT